GCTGCCGCTGCCGCTGCTCCTCCTCCTCCTCCTCCTCCTCCTCCTCCTCCTCCTCCTTCCCCTCCTCCTCCTCCTCCTCCCCTCCTCCCCCCTCCTCGTCCTCTCCTCCTCCTCCTCCTCCCTCCTCGTCTCTCCCCACCTCTCTCTTCCGCTGCTTCGCACGATCCTCCTCCTCCTCCTCCCCCTCCCCCTCCCCCCCTCCTCCTCCTCCTCCTCCTCCTCCTCCTCCTCACCCTTCTCTATCCCTTTTCCTTGTAGCGGCTCCCCCCTGTCGCCCCACAGATGTGTCGATAGGGCGGGCTGGGCGTACCACTGATGACCCTGAGGCTTGAAATTTGCAACCGTTTTACGTCTGGAGGGCGGGTCGTTGACAACATGTGGCTCTGGCCTCAGCAAGACCCACATTCGTCGCGAAAGCTTACAACATGTTCAAAGATGGAGGGCGGGTCGGTTTCCAACCGTGTCTCTCGCCCCCGCCCCGCGCGCATTCGTCTTTCAATGGGCAGTAGCTTCACGGATGGAGGGCAAGCCGTTTTCAACATGCGGCTCTCTCGCCGCCTGCGCATTTCCGTCGTACAATTTCGCACAAAAAGCTTCAAGGAAGCAAGGCGTTTCTTTTTCCACATGTGGCTCTCGCCTGAATGCCGCGCACATTCGCCGCAAAGCCTGCAAGATGGAGCGCGGATCGTTTCTCTATGTCCCTCTCGCCTTCGCGCCGCACGCATTCGTGCTACAAGTTTGCTACATGTTCCAAGATAGAAGGCGATTATTCGTTTAAGAATGTGGCTCTCGCCTTAGCGCTGCGCGCACTCCTCTTGAACATGTGCAGCATTCCCAAACATATTCGCACGGTGTAAGTCCAGGGATTGGTGCCTTGGCGCGGCTTAGGACCGTCAGGACGCAATACACGTTGGTTCGCGGTGTTGAAGCCCAAAGGATGGCATCCTAGCGTGAGTTAGGATTGCCAGGGCGGAACAGTCACGTTGATTCATGGCGCTGAAGTCTCACCAATGGTGTTTTCCCACCATTGAAGATTCTAAAACGGTTGTCTTCCAATCGGACATTCCCCGCAATGGAGGTACATATGTGTATGGCCCTATGAATAGAATCGTGGAGGGAGGATGCATTACAACACCGCTGATACGTCTTGAATGTATACTGGTCCTCATCCTCCTCTAGCCCATTTCCTCTTACATAACTTCTTCCTGTCGCACCTCGAGGCCAGTTTCTAGGGCGGGCCGGGCGTTTTGTCTGAGACGTCTTCACCATGTATAAATCTGAGGCATGAACATTGACAACAGCTTCACAGATGGAGGGAGGGTCCTTTTCAACATGTGGCGCTCGAATAGCGCGGCGCACATTCCTTTCAAACATTTGCAGAAGTGTCGCGGGTTGAGGGCGGGTGGTTTTCAACATGAGGCTCTCGCCTTAGCGCGGCACACATTCGTTTAAAACATGTGCAAGAGCTTCACAGATGGAGGGCGGGTCCTTTTCAAAAGGTGGCTCTCGCTTTAGCGCGGCGCACGTTCGTTTTCACAATTTGCAAGGGCTTCACGGATTGAGGGCGGCTCCTTTTCAAAATGTGGCTCTCGCCTTAGCGCCGCGCACATTCGTTTACAAAATGTTGAAGAGTTTCGCGGAGTCGCATCATCAGTGTACCAGAAATGGTGTTTTGGAAGGATTAAGGATTATGCGGGTGCAACAATTACATTTATTCTCTGTGTTGAAGTCCTAAGAATGGCGTTTTGGCACGAGTCAGGATCGTCAAGACGCAACAGTCAGATTGATCCGTGGCGTTGGAATTCCGAGAACCATGTCTTGGCATGCTTCAGGGTCTTCAAACGGGTGTTTTCCAACGAGGCAGTTCCATCAATGGAAATGAACCGTTGTAGGGGCCGACGAAGAGGGAGCTTGGAGGGAGGGTTTACATCGTTGATGACTCTTGGGTTTACACTGGTCCTCCTCCTCCTCCTCCTCCTCCTCAGCCTTCCGACTCGGAAGCACAGGCGGAGAGAGAGAGTGGGAACGGCAGGCCAGCAAGGAGGGCAACACGAGCTTCGTGAAGAAGAAGAAGAAGAAGAAGCAGCTGCCAGCGCCCCTCCTGCGGGCGTGCGGGGCCACGTTCGAGGCGGCGGCGGACACGGGCGACGCGATGGAGCTGACCACCGGAGAGGGTGGCGGCACGCAGGCACTGGGAGACCTCGACGATGTGCGCGGAGCAGCCACAGTAGCTCTGCGGGCAGGGCGAGGCACTGCCGCGTCGAGAAGCTCAAGGCGAAGGCTCCCGACGGCCCGACGGATCTCGCGATGGTGCAGTTCCCTCTCAGCGGCGAGCTCTCGGACTCGATGGCGCTGCTCACGGCGAGCAGGTCCCCCCGGAAGAGGCAAGGCGACACCAAGACGGTCGGCGGGGCCCCGTGGGGCGTGCCGGTGCGCAAGCCGAAGCGGCTGCTGGACATAGCCAAATGATGCGACGAGGCCGTGGTGGATTCGACGGGAGGCGACGCTAGCGGGGGGGAGGGAGCTCATGCAGGCAGATAGGCTTTCTGCGGCTGCTGCTAGGCGGGTGCAAGGGATCCCTGAGCCACCACCTCCCACTCTCGTCACGCCTGTCTTCGTCTCTCCTCATCCTGGCCTTGGGCCCCCTCCGAACCCCACCCCTCCCACGGTTCAAATCCAGAACAGTCTTGGAGCTGGGCCTGCTGTTGGTCTTGGTCGCCTACCGCCTCGCCGTGGTAGGGAGGAGGCCGATGGACGGGTGATGCTCGAGGTAAGTCTTGAGAGGGATGGGGCCCTGGCTCTTTTCGGATCTCCGTCCCCTCTCGGGACGCCGCAGGTGGTGCCTCTTCTCTTGTAGTGACTTCGGGTGCACCTCTCAGGCACGGTATATCCCTGAGGACGATGCTGATGGTGGCAGCCACAGGCTGCGCGCCGTCACGTACGCCGCTGGGCCCGGGCTGCCCCGCTGCCAGCGGCGGCAGTCTGCACGCTGGCGCAGCTCAGGCCTCGAGACGGAGAGCCTGGGCGCCCTCTGCGGCTCGTCGCTTGGAGGGATGTGTGGAGCCCCTGGGTCAGTCATCTTCCCACCCCTCCTCCTCCTCCGCCTCCTCCTCCTCCTTCTCCTTGTGCCCCTGCTCCTCATCTTGCTCCGCCACCTCCTCCTACTACTATTATGTCCCCCCTTGCCGCGTTTCCATGTTCCCCCTTGTCCTCTTCTTCCCTCCTGCCTCCTCCTGCCTCCTTTTCCAAACCCACCTCCTCGTCATTCCTTGTCCTTATACATGGCGCTACCTCGCCTGACCACCAAACGTGTCGGTAGGGCGGGCAGGACGCTTCGCCTTAGATGTCCTCGATCGCGGACCATCCATCTAGCAAATCTCCAACAAGTCCCAGACATGTGAGGCGAGTGGTTGTCAAAATCGAGCTCTCGCCTGGGCGCCACGCGCATTCGTCGTGGACGCTTGCACCAGCTGCTAGGATGGAGCGCGGGTCGTTCTCAAAACTGGACTCTCTCTCTCTCTCTCTCGCCTGAGCGCCGCGCACATTCGTCCTCAAAGCTTGCAACCGCTCCAAGGATGGAGGGCGGCTCGTTTTCTCACTGGGGCTCTCGCTTGGAATTCCCCGATTCTCGAGACCAGAAGCTTTGACCTATGTAACAATTGCGCGGATGGAAGCCAGCCTTTGTTCGAACCAATCTTTCGCCAGGCCGTTCCTAGGAAATTCATTGCCGTACGTTTACGTTATCGCAACCTTTGCAAGCATGATGGTGCGCTGCTGTTTCAAGACAGGGTTTGTTCTGGACACCTGTTTGAACTGTGTGATCACAAATAAATGTATTCCATGCTGCCCGCTGGAACGATGCATGGCAACTCCTGTTCAGAACGGGATTCTCGCCTGAACGGTAGGACCAATGGGCCAGGTGCCGGTGCTGGTCTCTCAAGGGGGCGCTTTCTGTGGTGAAAGGGAGGTCTGTTGTAGGGATGTTTGAAGAGGGGCCTTGGGACGGGAAGTTCTGTTGCAATCTCGTTGACGCATGTTGGTTTTAAGGTGGTCCTCCTCCACCTCCTCCTGCTCTCCCCCTTCTCGCCCTTCGCCTACCCCTCCTCCCATGTTCTCCTCCCCCCCCTCTGCCAACCTTCTGCTCCAGCGAAGGGGCCTACGCCGACCGACCGACAGACCGACCGAACCGCCGACGCCGACGACGGCGAGGTCGGCGGCGACGGCCACGGCGATGGCCGCGGCGGCGGCCACGGCGGCCGGCGACCGCGGCAGCGACGACGACGGCGACGACCACGACGACGACGACGACCACGACGACGACGACCACGACGACGACAACGGCGGTGGTGGGCACGGCGGCGGCCGCGGCAGCGACGACGACGACGACGACGACGACGACGACGACGACGACCGACACCGCCACCGCCACCGCCACAACCGACGGCTCTCGCCGGGCCTGCGCCGCTGGGTCTGCGCCGGCGGCGAGCAGCGCGTTCACGGTGTCCAGCGAGCCCTCCTGCGGCAGAGGCGCTTTGGGCCCCCTGGCCGCCGCCGCCGCCGCTGCTGCGTCGATCTGCGCTCGATGAGTTCGTCCTCCTCCTCCTCCACCGCCGCCTCCTACTGGTCCTCCTCCACCTGTTCGTCGTCCTCCTCCTCCTGGTTTTCTGTAGACCTCCTCCGCCGCCCTCCTCCGCCTCCTGGGGCTCCTGCCCGTGCCCCCTGCATTCCTCGCGTACGGCTCCTCCGCCTCCTCCTCCTCTCCTCCTCCTCCCCCCCCCTCCTCCTCGTCCTCCTCCTCCTCCTCGTCCTCCTCCTCCTCCTCGTCCTCCTCCTCCTCGATGGAAAATAAGGAGGGAGGAGTGAAGGAGGATGAAGGAAAAAAGGAGGAGGGAGGAGAAGAAGAGTGAAGAGGGTGGAGGAGTAAAAAGAGGGAAAAGGAGGACAATCTAGTTCTACATCGCGCGCACGATTTACGCGAGAAGACATTGGGTCACTCCGATGAGAGAGCTGTCGCCAACTCACCGACACAGCCAGTGCCCTTGGAGAGGGAACATTGAACTGCGGGCTCGTCTGACTTCCGGATCACCGGCCTAAGCTGGTGGAGTATCAAAGATACTCGTTCAGCCGCCTCTGTTGGAGTGAGGAGTGGCCGCGTGAGCCTCTACAACATCGGTCGCATTCACTCTTCGACCCTCTCCTCCCTCTCTGCCCCCGCCTTCTGATCCCCTTCCTACATACACTCTTCCTTCTCTTCACCCTCATCGTCCTGCTCCCCTCGTCCTCCATACCCTGAAGCTCCTCCTCCTCCTCCTCCTCCGCCTCCTCCTCATTACCTCTTCATTGCCTCAAGATACGCCCTCGTCCTTTTGGGCCGGTTGTCTGGGGAGATTTCTCGAAGGAAGCGGGAAAGCGAGAGCACAACTTGGGCATGAGCGGAAGAGGGGGACCAGGAGGGAGGAAGGAGTGACGAGATGATTTGCCATCGCCGCGACATATCGACGCCTGCAACGATGGATGGATGCGCAGCGGAGCCGTGACCTGCAGTCTGCCCGCCAGTGCAGAAGAGCGGTTGCTCTTGTCAGTGCGAACCCTCGTTGAACCCAATCACTGCGTGGCGCCAAGGCTGCTGGCCCCGGGGCAAGGGATGGGGGCGATGACAGGGGGGTGGAGAAAGGTGCGCTCTCTCGGGGGCGCGCTAACATGGATTAGCGATCCATGGATTTGGCGCGCGGTCGCCAAATCCATGGATCGGGGGAGGTGCCCTCCCCAAAATGCGGCCGGTGCCGCCTCGTTCGGCGGCGGAAATCAGCGATTTCCCATGGAAACGAGACCCGTCGCTAATCCACGCCCTCTTGATCCATGCTTGCGATCGCCTGCTCTTTGTTCCCTAGATGGGCCCTGCTGCGGCCCCTACTGGAGCCGCAAAAGCGCACGAAAAGTCACGTCCCCCGGCCCCTCGTCACCTCCCCCCTTCCACGAAGCAGCGCCCAGCTGCCGCGGGCACAGGGGACGCCCGGGAGAGCTGCGAAGACGACTCTCCGCCCCGAGCGCGGCCCCTTCCCGGCCGAAGGCCACGTGCAAGATCGGAGGAGGAGAGGCCGACACTCGGCTCCGGGGACAAGGGCGGCGCGGCTGCCTCGCACCGCGCCTGCTCCGCCCCACTGGACTCCACTGCGCGCCAGAGCGACCCGAAGCAAGAGTGGCCTGTGGCGGCGCGGCTTCAGAGGGCCGCGGGCAGGCCAAATCCAAGCGCGCAGGCAAGTGCGGGGGGGACCCTGTGAGCCCGCGCGAAAGGTCACTCTGGCGGATCACCCTTACGCGAAGCCGATGGACGCCGTGCTCCGCGAAAAGCTCGAAGGCCGTGTCTAGCAGTGTGCGCTCGTGTCGTGGCCCCTCCTTTTCTGAGTCATGGGCTCCCGATCAGAACGCTCGCTCTTAGCTTACGGGGCTAAACAATATACACCACCACCACCACCACCACCACCACCTCTCTCGCCCTCTCCCTCCCCCGCGAAAGAGAGGAAGAAGAGGGAGGACGAGTGGAAGTGGTGGTGGTGTACATTCTTGGGACCCGCATGTTTGAAACAGCATAACGGCATGAGCATGAAATTTTAAAGGTCCGCGCGGATTTCTTGGATCCGCGTTGCCCCCCCCTTCCCTGGCGCGCGGAGCGGGCCAGGGGCGGCGCTGGATGCGCCGCCAGGGGGAGCGCAGATCCAAGAAATCCGGGCGGAACTCCGAAAAAACATGCTTATGCCCAGCAGTAAGCATTTTGGATGAGGGTGGCGCCTACCACGCCCCAGGCCCAGCAGTTTGCATATTGTCTGACTGCTGCTCTTCAGTAGTTCTGGAGAGACCCGAATCCAGAGGGAAAAAACCATATCATTCTCGTTTGATCTTGTCGAATCAATTCTCAAAGCTTTCTTCGACCCCTTCTCGCTGACGACCTTTGCCGACTGCGCCGCAAGCGGCATCCTCGAACTCAAGGCAGCGACGGGTCGACGGCGGCGCCGGCGCCGACTGGCAAATCCCTGGGGCGGCAGGATCTGAGCGCCGATTGCCTCCGAGGGCGAAGTGCAACGCAGGTCGATGCTGGCGCCAAAGCTGAGCGCCAGGCCGACAAGTTCTTCGTGAGGCAGGGCTGGCACGATTTCAGCGCCGATTGCCAAGGACGGCGAGGTGGAACACATGTGGGTGCTGGCGCCGACGCCGAATGCAGTTGTTCCTCTCGGCGGGGCGGGCGGCTGGGAAAAACTCGGGACGTTGACGCTTCGCGACCTGGAAACCGACAGCGTGTCACGCCGAGGCGTGGTTGGCCAGAACCGACGGAGCGACACGCTATCCCGTAATCGACCGTTGGTGGAAATGACTGCGCGGGTTGTGGTCGCGGTTGTGGCGGTCGTCGTGGCGATGGCGGTTGCGGCGGCGGTAATGTTGATAATCAACATGGCGACGGTTCTCTTGATCCCCCCCCGCTCGCATCCCGACCTGGGCGTAGTGTCTTACTCTCGATATAGGGCTTCTTTTTTTACGGCACCGAAGCGGCTCCAAGACGAATCGCACTTGGCCAGACTCCAACATGAAAGCACAAAGCCGCCGTGTAGATCCGCATGCGACTGCAGTCCCCGCTCTGCCAGGGGGACTGCCGAGCGGGGAGCGGAGGGGGCCCTCTTGCAACGGCGGGCCCCGGCCACGAGCAGGCTCTCCGACCTGGACAGGCGGAGCGGCCCGAAGGTCAGAGAGCCTGAAGAATGGGAGCCCCGTGGACCTCTCCTGGGGCGCGTTTGGGTCGGCATTTCGAATCGGATTCCGCCGTGGCGGCCAGGGGCCCCCCAAAGCACACGACGCTTCCGAAACGTAGAATGCCTGCAACGATGGACCCCGAACAGCGCGTGTCTAGCAACCTAATGTTGTGCAACCTATGTGGCGCGACACATGTTGCGCAATACGCGCTGAACAATATAGGTGGCACAACCTATGCGGTGCAATGTAAGTTGCGCGCTCCGGGTTGCGCCATGTGTGTTGTGCAATTTTGTGTGGTGAATTCGATGTTGTGCAGTCTATGCGGTGCAATTCGCTTGCCGAACTTGAAGTTGTCAACTGCACTGTTCGCGCGCTCATCCCACCCACCCACCCGCAACTTGGTTTGCAAAACCCATGCGGGACCGAGCACAGATATAGCTCCGGGGTCGTCTTGGAGCCCTCGGGAGCGTCTCAAGAGCGCCCCAAGAAGGCCAGAGAAGCAAGACGGCCGACGACGACGACGACGACGACAGCGGCGACGACGACGACGCCGACGTCGACGACGACGAAGACGACGACGCCGACGCCAACGACGACGGCGAAGACGACGACGACGTCGCCAACGAAGACGACGACGAGGGAGGAGGGAGGAGGGAGGACGACGACGGCGACAACGACGACAACGACGACAACGACGACAACGACGACAACGATGGAGGAGGGAGGACGGCGACGACGCGAACGACGAAGAAGGAGGAAGGACGGCGACGCCGACGACGACAACGACGAGGGAGGAGGGAAGACGACGACGAGACGACGACGACAACGACGAGGACGACGGCGACGAAATAGGAGGGACGACGACGAGACGCCGACGACGGACGACGACGGACGACGACGAGGGAGGAAGAGGAAGGACGACCACGGCGACAACGACGACGGAAACGACCACGACGCCAAAGAGGACGACGATGACGACGAACACGAGGAAAGACACAGGACGACGTAGGCGACGACGACGACGACGACGCGGGAGGAAGGAGGACGGCGACGACGACGACGACAACGACGACGACGCCGCAAGAGCGCGCGCGCGCGCTTTTGTTGAAAATCCGTGTTGCGAAACCTTGTGTTTTTGTAAGTTTTTTGGACGCGCGGTTCCGAAATCCTTCCGAAACCGATGGGTTTTGAATGATTTCGGCGTCCGCGCGCGACGACACGCGCGTCTGCACTTCGTCCCTTTTTTGGTTGCAGAGGATTCTCGCGACGGCACACGCGCAAGGGCGTCCGACAGATCCCGACATGCGCGCGCGACGCCCGTTCGGTAGCATGTTGCGAAAATCTTAACATCCAATGGTTGTTTTTCAAGATTTCGCAACAGCTCGCGCGTAAGTTTGTTTCTTAAAGCAAAGCAGTGTTACGACACCCTGTGTTTGTGTATGTTGTTTGTAAACTCCATTGCGAAATCCTTCTGGCACCGAAGGTTTTTGAAGGATTTCGGCATGCGCGCGCGACGACGCGCGCGCGCACTTCGTCCCACTTTTTGCGAAGGATTCGTGAAACAAGTGTTGTGCTAGAACAAGAGAAATGTCACCGCATAGTGTTTTTTACAAGGGAACCTCAGGGGGGGATACCGGTTGGCCTGGGACATTGTGATTTCATATGTAGGATGGACATGTGGTCAGACTCATATGTGATTTACATGCCCGGAATAATATGTGGCGATAACGAGGGGGGGGGGTAGAGTCTATTCGTTTTTTTATAGAAAAGAGAATATACGCGGTGCAGTTGACTACCCTGCACCGCGCTTGACCACCTCCACTGCTCGCGTAAACGTCCCACCCTTCCACCCGCAACTTGTTTGGAAAAACTCATGATGCGGGGGGCGGCGGCGCCACCGATGACGACATCGACGATCGCATCCTCACTTCCGGTGCTCGTCACCGTGAGTCGATGATGAAGGTGAGCAATCGACGATACTCGGACGTGCGCGATGACAAGGTGACGTCGGCAACGCCTGCAACAATGACGAAGATGGCACCAGCGACGACGATGTCCAAGAGGGCGACGGCACGAACGATAACGGCGCCAATGATGGCAAACACGTTGACGATGCGGATGTCAATCTGTCGATGAGGCAGGTGGTCGCGGTGATGCTGACAAGGTTGAAAAGGAAATCCGCGCGCGCGGAAGTTCAACAAATCCGTCAGACTGATCATGCGCGCGTGGCGGTGCGCGCCTGTGACCCGCGTGGTATTTTGTGCAAGGGATTCGCGCCCTCGGCGCATGACAGGAGCATCGCGGGTGCCCCGCGCGGTGACATGAAATCGCTGCACTTGGCAGAATTCGCAAGAATCCGATGGTTTTGTATGATTTTAGAACGAGCGCGCGGACAGGAAATGTGCAACAAGTTTGTTGCAAAACCCTTGTTTTTCTTGGGTAGGTCGGTATGCTGAAATGCCTGCAAACACACTGTGCTTGGTACGATGTTGACATGGACGCGCGCGTGATGACTTTGTGATAAACGGGTGCGCGCGCAAAGTATTCTTTGCAGGGGATGGCGGGGGGAGAGATACCGGCTTGGCTGGCAAAGTACGAGCTCACAGCTAAGATGGGCGGACATGCGAATTGCAATGCGAAAAGGGGGACCGTGAACTTCGGGAAGGGGTTGAGTCTGTTTTGTTTAGACAGGAGAATCTATATATATATATATATATATATATATATATATATATATGGTGCGTTCGGGCTGGTGCAAAATACATATATATACACACATATTGTACACTCTATGTGGTGCAGTATATACTGTGCAACTATATGTGGCGCAGTACGTCTATGTTGTGCAATGTATCTTCCTAGTCTGCCTCCTCCACCGCACCTTCCTCGCTTCGTCGTGGTTGTCCTCCTCCTCGCCCTTCGCCTCCTTCACCGCCTCGTCGTCGTGCCTCTCCTCCTCCTCTTCCTCCTCCTCCTTCTCCTTCTTCTCCTCCTCCTCCTCCTCTTCCAGTCTATGTGGTGCACTCTATATGGCGCAATTAACTTGGTGCAGTCTTTACGACGAGACGGCAACGGGGCGGCGACGGCGACGACATAACCGCCAGATCAACACATAGCCCCAGACGACGGGCGGCGACGAGGCGGCGGCGGGCCGGCGGCGGTGACGACATAGCCGCCAGACCGACACACCAGCCCAGACGATGACGGCGACGGGGCGGCGACGGCGACTACATAGCCGCTAGACCGACACACCAGCCCAATACTGTTTGGGGAGAGACTTCAAGACCATGGTCCAATACACATTTCTCCGGGGCGATTCAGCGGCCTGTGCATGTTTGAGCCGGGCACCGTCGAGCCTGCGCGGCCAAGTGCAGGGCGGTGTTGCCGTCGGTGTCCTGCCCCCCGGGAGCCCCTCCAGCGCCGAGGGCACTCGGCACAGGCAGGGGGCGGCACGAGTCACGAGACCACCGCTGCTGCACGATGCCACTCCTGCTGCTCTTCCTCCTTCCCCCTCCTTCTCCTCCTCTCCCCTCCTCCACCCTCCTTCCCCGTCCGCCTCCCCCCATCCTCCCCCATCTCCTCCCCCTCCCCCACTCCTCCTCCCACCTCCTAATCCTCCTCCGCCCCCTCCCCCGACCTCCTCCCCCTCCTCCCCTCCCCCTCTCACATCCTCCTCCTCCTCTCCTCCTCCTCTCCTCCTCCTCCTCCTCCTCCTCCTCCTCCTCCTCCTCCCTCCTCCTCCTCCTCCTCCTCCTCCTGCTCTCCTCCTGCTCCTCCTCCGCCTCCTCATTTTCCTCTTCCTCCTCCTCCTGCTCCGCATGCTCTTCCTGCTCTTCCTCCTGCTCCTGCGCCCCTGCTCCCCTGCTCTCCCTGCTCGTGCTCGTGCTCCTGCTGCGGCCGCTAGCCCGGCATGCCGGGCGCACGACGCACGAGGGAGACAAGGCGTCCAGCGCGCACCCTGGCGGACCCCAGCAAACACGGCTGAGTGGCCGCCGGGGTGCGCAGAGGGGAGCTGCCTCCCAAGATGTCCCGTAGAGGGCCGAAAACGAAACCGACCGCGGACGGACGTTTCACGGACCCTCGTGCTCCTCCTCCTCCTCCTCCTCCTCCTCGTCTTCGTCTTCTTCCTCCTCCTCCTCCTCCTCCTCCTCCTCTTTCTCCTCCTCGTCTTCCTCCTCCTCCTACTTACTCCTCCTTCTCCTCCTCGTCTTCCTCCTCCTCCTTCTTCTCTTCCTCCTCCTCCTTCTCCTCCTCTTCCTCCTCTTCCTCCAACTTCTCCCCCTGTCCTCATAGCCACCCTCCTCCTCCTCCTCCTCCTCCTCCCACTATCCTTCCTCCTCCCACCTCCCTCGGCGCGCAGAAAACGCATCTGGAAGGACGGCATCTCTGCAAAAAGTTCGCGGAGCCGCCCAAGCGTTCAAGGCTCTGCGTGCTCACCGACGAGCGGGGGGTCGACGCCGCGACACCAACGAGGAGAGAAGCCGCGCGGCAGCAATGACGCGACGCCTTCGGGTTGTTGTTACTGTGATATTTAGGGTACAGACCAAGAGGCTGTTTGTGATCTCAGATGGGGTGTTGTTCATCGGGTGCCACAGCAAATCGGACGGTGATAAACAATCGTTCTGGACATTGGTTAGGCTCTTGTTAGGATGGTGTTTATGACAATCAAGTGGGTATCGTGGAAGACATTGTATTAAACATCGGTCGGGGTATTGATTGCGAATTGCCTCGGATGATGTCTCTGATCGTGTGCCGGA